GTTATCCTGATGTTAGTGCCTTTGCAACTGGTTTTGTAATATACGTTGACGGTATGGTGGAAACTGTTGGTGGTACTAGCTGTGCTGCGCCTACAACAGCTGGTATTATATCACTGATTAACGATGTCCGTCTTAATGAAGGAAAAAGCACTGTCGGTTTCCTCAATCCACTTATATACAAGCTCAATGGTAAAGGGTTCTTTGACATCACCAAAGGAGAGAATTACGGTAATAATATATTTTGTGACGGCTTCAAAGCTATTGAAGGATGGGATCCAGCTTCTGGCTGGGGTAGTCCTAATTTTGGAATCTTAAAGGGACTGCTGAATTAAAGACATTTGCTATTTTTGTTATTTTTGGTGTGCTAATAGCTATTGGTTATTTTATATTAGGATACTTAATTTCTGTTGTGTCAATGTTAGATAATAAATTGCTATTTTAAAAGTTTATAGTTTTTTTGCTAAAATTATAGTTCTTGATGAGTGCCAGTTGGTGGGTTGGGAGTGCAGGGAGACTCAACTTCATGCAGCATCTCTCTCTCTAGTAGTATCTCAGGACACACAGGAGCAAACAACTGAGGGAGCTCGCAAGAATTATTTAAAGCTAAAAATTAACCTTGATTTAATAATTATGTTAATTTATCAAGTGCCGGTACCTGCTAACTGATCCACTAAGCCTAGCAATATGTCTCTGGTTTGAGCTTTAAATTCATCACAGGTGTACAGGTCTCCGGTGTACTGGCAGCCATAGCTCTGTGGACGTCCCTTGTAATCTCTGCAAACGCAAGCTGTGGCTAGCGATATTTTAGACTGACTGGTCCTTAAATCAAACCAAGTACATTGTGAGCCATCTTTTGTTGTATATGCACCAGTCTGTGGAGTATTGGTTCCTGCTGCAAGCAGAAATCCTGCAAAACCCACCAGGAACTTTGCTAACATTATTTTAAGGGGGCGAAAATGAGAAGAGGAGGGGCTCATTAATTAAAGCATTCTGGGCGGAGCTCATTATGTTATTAACTCTGACGTCATAACTAGATCTGATTTTTTTCTTTTGGGGGAAAAGTTAAAACTTGTTGCTCGTCAATGCATCGTAGATGACATTATGTTGAGCTTGTCAGTTCAGTATTATATTTAATTTTAATTTTCCTATAATAATAATAATTCCTGATTTAAAAACATTAAATAACTGTGTATGTCCACATTATCGACTTGTAATAGTGTTTAAGTGTACATCAGTTCAGCCATTACTGACATCGGTCTAGGTAAATACAATAACTCGTCAAAATAGCCGGCCAACTCCTCCACACTGACGTCACTGTACATTGCTTCCTGTCTACATGTAGATAACACAGCCCCTCCCCCAACCACGCCCACAGCCTGATGATGCTGATCAGGCAATGACGATTGCACAGTGTGACAGTCACACAATAAACACGCAATCCTGTCATCCTGAGAATGACAGGAACATACACATGGAGTTGCTTCAGATGACGAACAATCTCGTCTCAACGTATCGCTGTCTTGTTGATTATGATTCTCTTTGAATAAGTGATTTGATTTCTGGATGCATTCCTGTTTAACGGGCTCAGTTGTGGTGGCATAGGAGTAATTTGATTGGTTCACTCTAGACGAGTTTTCCCGCCATTCCAGCCCGCCATTATGATTGATTATTTGCGAGCTATTGAGGGAGAAACAATAACAAAAATTATTTTAGTACACTCCTCACGGGTTAATGGACCCTTCCTCCTCCTCCTCTCCATCCTCCTTCTTCTTCTCGTGATTGAGTCTAAGAGCCTCAAAACTGAGGGAGAGCTCTGTCGTGGGGGACGTATTACGAGCCATCCCGTTCAACCAATAGACCACTAGACCAGATGATCGAGTTCTGTCTCCTTTTGAGAGAGACGCCGGTTGCTATGGAGAGCTATTAATAGTAACACTATGACATAATTGATACTGACGTAATTAATGCAACACGGCAAAGTCACGTGCGTCATATGATCAACTCGAGCTCGCTCCATATCTCTATATCAAGGACGGTTCTGCCTTGTTTCTTTATCATTAAAAAATAGCAACTTGTCTTTCTGTCTAGCTCTTACTAATTCATAAATAACAGAATGTCTCTTTATCCTTCACTAGAGGATATGACCGTTTCCAAGATGGCTGGGGTAAGTAGTTAGCATCTTTTCATTTCACTTTATGTATAATACTTTAGGCTCAAGCTGCAGCAACTCATCATGCTCCACAGCGTCCTGCCATCTCAAGTCAGCCAGCAGCTCCTACACCAGGCGGTGGTGGTGGGCTTTACCCTAGCCTTGATGATTATATGGGTCTTGATCTACAGAAATATTCTCCTGTGAGTTGTTGTACTATAATAATGGGAGGTGCTAATAGCTGTTTAGCTGTAGTAAATAAAGCTAGGAAAATGTTATTAGTTTTTATCAATCAATCTGTTCTTGGGTCATTTCTTTGTAAGAAAGAGTACCTTCACTTGTATCAATATTGCTTTGCTTGCAGGAAATACTTGTGAATTTTGTTCCAAAATCATTCATATCATTGTACTTTGGAATGCTATGAATAACTTTATTAGTCACTCCCACTATTATCGAAAGTTAATTTAACCTCTCTCTCTCTCTCTTTCTATCTGTAGCCTGCCCAAGCTCAAGCTGTTGTTGCCATTGCTTCAACTACAGCTGTCTCTACAACAGCATCTGGACCAGTAAGTGGAGTAGCTAATGTTGGAGTCAGGAGAGCACAGATCAAACAAGGTTAGGGACATTTCCCCCCTACCCTCCTTTGAACCACTTGTTTTGATATTAATATGCAAATTATTATTTAATTTCTGGTAATACTGATAATAACATCCCTCTCTCATTAGGTGTCCGTGAAGTTGTCTTATGCAAAGATGCCAAAGGAAAGTGTGGCATCTCCTTCCACTCACAGAGCAAAGGAGTTTTTATATGCTACGTGCAGAAAGACTCAGCAGCTGCCATGGCTGGGCTGAGGTTTGGTGATCAGATCCTACAGATTAACGGTGAAGTCATTGCTGGCTATTCAGAGGACAAGGTCAATAAACTAGTCAAGAAAGCATCAGCCACCAACATAAAATTTGCCGTTCGTGACAGGTAACTAAGAATCTTCTTTTTGGCACGTTTATTTTACAACCTTTTGATTATAGGCCATTTGAGCGTACTATCACAATGCAAAAGGACAGTACTAATCATGTTGGGTTTTCCTTTAAGGACGGTGAGGTAGTAGCAATTGTCAAGGACTCATCTGCTGCTCGTAATGGCCTCCTTACTGATCATTTCCTCACTGAGGTTAATGGACAGAATGTCATTGGACTAAAGGTAGGTATCACACTCTTGTTCGTTCACTTTCATGTGTACACAAACACTTTTCATTTTCAATACACAATTAATGATGTTGTTCTTTTGTTCCTGTAGGATAAAGCCATTGGTGACATATTCCGTGAAAGTCCACGTACCATAACCATAACTATCATGCCCAAGTTTGTGTATGATCACATGATAAAGAAGTAAGTTCCAGTTTACATAGTTAGCCTTGTCTGTTTGTCTTGTGATATCCTCATGACCTATATACTATATACTGGTTATGATAATTAACCTTTCATAGTAAATATTATTGTTAACGTCACTTCTTCCTCTCTCTCTCTCTCTCTCCCTTTCTCTCTCTTTTCCAGTATGGGATCTAAGATGAAGAAGATGATGGATCACTCTATCCCTGACGTCTAAGCGACATGCCTTTTCATACAAGATACTCTGTTGACTTTTGATTTATGTACTTCTCTCTCTGTGTAATCTGTGTAATGCTTCAAATTGTTAGATCTCGCACACTTTTAAAACGTCTCATTCACTAACCTTGTTCACATTACATAATTATTATTATACTCTAAATATTTGTTGCTTGTTTATAGTATCATAAATTATAATGTTGATTGAAAGTTTAATCCCTGTCTCCAACCTAAATGGCTCACATATGATTGGCATTCTTTGAAGTGGTATTGGCTCATCAATCACTCAATGATCAATAGCTGTAACTCCTCCTGTATCTGTTTTTCCTTTTCACCTACCTGTGTATTTTTGGCAATAGTATAATATCCTGTGACGTTCTATAGTTGCATCACCCTCTATTCACTCATTCAATAGAGCTAGGCTGTCTGCCTCTCCTTGTACCATACTTGTCTCAAAGGATCCCTTGTCTTGTTGCCATGATCAGTACGGGCTGATGGATATCACAGCCGCTAATGCTATTCTGTTCTTTCTAACTATCCTACTGGTTAGTCTGATAGGTTGGTTTGTGCTTAAACTAAACGGGAAGGAAGAGAGCCAGACAGAGGAATCTGTGCTACAGGCTAATAAAGGGAAGAAGAAGAAGAAGCAGCAGTCTTCGTCTACTAATGAACCCCGCCGCCGCTCATCCGATAAAAAAGGAGCGAAACCGAAAAAGGCAAACAGTAAAAAAGAAGAGACAGATAAAAATGTCAATAAAGGTCCCGAGGGCCTGCCATTATCATCATTGTCATTATCAATACAAGAAGATAATAATAATGTTGTACTACTTCACACCTCCAATGAGCAATTGACACCATCAGCTGTCACCTCGGCCAATGACGACGATACGAGCGAGAGAGAAGTCGTCCCTGTATTTATGACTTTAAATTCAAAAGATGAATTAGAATCGGAAATAAAAGCGGCAGCTGACGAACGGCAAGAACTTATACATGAGACCCAAAACAGCGACACCACCAGCCAGGAGAAGAATGATGACAAAGACGATACAATGGACAAAAGGAGTAGTACGCCACCTCCTATTGATGACAATGGTGAAGAATGGATTGTCGTGTAGATACAATTGTCATGAAAAAATAATCGGGAAAAATATTTAAAATAGCATAGCACGAGGTAAAATAAGTTTGGTAGAGAAAAGGACACTATAAATAGCTTATAAATAGCTTAATCATAGAGCAGCTAAATATAGACTCTACTAAAATATAATAATAATTCTACTATTATCAATTATTATTATTAGTGTATGGAATTATAGGGTTTTAAAAAAGCATCATTAATTTTAGCATTCAGCAATGTTAATTGTTTTTTATTTATCATCATTCTTTTGGAGGGGGGCAGCCAGCAATAGCCTCTTGCTTAAAGTCAACATCTATAATGAAAGAGGAAAGACATGAGCTAGCAGAGAGAGGTTCATAGTTACTTACTCAGTCCTTTAACAAACCCAACAAGGTTCTTATAATTTTGTCCAGCATCGCAATAAGCACCGTATATATTGGATATTGAAAATGCCTAATAATAATAAACAATAATTAGTATTTTGTTCACGCCTAACAGGCATGTACATAGGCTGTGCCAAATAGGGTACATGATTAAGCTAGTGTTGAATGCAATTAGTAACTATTCATTGGATATCTCAAGAGACTATGCACACATGTGAGGAGCAAGTGACATGACGTCATAGTCATACTTTGACTGCCATCATGTGATACAAGATGAAGTGTAATGGGTGTGATGCTATAATTAAAATACCTTGACAACAGTAGTCCCTTCCTCCTTTCCTTCACTAACAAGCCAATCCTGTGTATCGTTGTAATGATGGACCTTTGTCGTGTGAATCGTCTGTAACATGAATTTAACACTCATGTTGTATGGCCTGTAATCAGAATTATTAACAAGAGTATAGCGTCCATCATCCCCTCCTATTGTTAACACAGTGGGTAATAAAATGAAAGAGAGAATGCTAACCATTCTTAAGGGAGTCTACCATTAACTTGTCAACATCATCAGTTGAAGCCTCTACAATGATTACATAACAATTGTGAATGTTTACCTAATCATTAATAATTATGCACTAACTGAAAGTGAATTGCAATATACAGCAAGCGTTTGCTACAAGAAAAAAACAATGCAAGCCAGATTTTCTTTATAGCTGCTTACCGCAAGTCCCGCAGTCTTCATTCTTGCAATCTGGAGGAACACAAGCTAGTGCTACTCCGATGCAGACCAGGAAAAGAAAGCGATACATTTTCTGCCTAGTGTATCTATGATTAATTCATTTCTGCTCGTGTAGGTGTGGCTCGTTGTCAGGGGCAACCGGTCAACAACACACCCATCAACATCATTGCAGCTCAGAGATGTTTCCTACCAATCCAACGGAGAGTCGACCTAACTTTGTGGAGAGAAAAGGAACACTTTTCCTCCGCTCAGACCACAAGAAATACAGCAGGGATACCTTGGCTAGCGGATGGTAAGGCTCTTTTATAAGCACCAACTGGAAAAGAGCACTATTTGAACATTAAAATACTGTCAATTCTAGGCATGCTGCTAGAGAATCTGAGCCGAAAGACTATGATATAAGCACATCCTCAGATAAAGAGAGGAACCTATTGAAGGCCACATACAACAGGATTGGCAATATGGCAGATCCTTCAGTAAACCATTGATATTAGCAGTCAGATTTATAGTTATTGCTATTATTGTAGTTCTTTCCAGCAACAACAGCACAAGAGGCTATGAACGAAGGGCAGGAATTAAAGGAAAGATACACCGAGAAAGAAACACGTCAGCAAATGATATCCATAGCAAACTTTTCGATTGCAGCAAACAGAATACCAAAGTATAAAAAAATTTATTCATTATCCTTACTCCATTTCTTGTTCAACTACCTACCTTTAATAGTAGCTCCAATGATTTCGGTTATAACAGCATTCTACCTAGACACAACCCTGATCACGATAAACAGTAATAATAATAATAATAATAATAATAATAAAAATAAAAATAATAATAATAATAATAATAATTTTAATTTAATGTGTTTGTTTCTATTGCCTATAGACACTTGGCAACAACTCAGCGATTGGATTACCAATATCATTTACCATGGACGCCAAATAAAGAAGTAAAACCCTCCAATACATTGCACTTATTAGTAGTCATATAGGACACTGGTATTAAATCCTGGGAGGAGACTAGTACGCATAGACGAAGATTATCAGAGTTCACTGATACGACTGGTCACAGACGCAAAGGAATCAACGTGTGGCAAGATTATAAAGAACAATAATTATAATTATACTACAACAAAAAATTAATAATTAAAATTTAACAAAAAGAAAAATTGATTACTATTGAAAAACACTAAGTACAATTGTTAATGATAATGTGACTCCACACACTCTTCATGTATGTACGGCTGGCAATTTACTTGATCTCGAGCAACTCGACTTCAAATATTAAAGTTGCATTTGGTGGAATAGTGTGGCAGTAAGTCAAGGAAAAATTACTAGGAAATGTCATTTTAGCATTTTCTCTAATTGAAAACAATTATATATAAAAATATTTTACAGTTATAATACACTTGCTTGAGCACTTTTTTAAAAATTGGAATCAGAATCAGGATTTTAATTGTGTATCAACTTTGAGCTGATTCTGAACAAATTTAGATTTTTTATTAATTTTTAAAGCTGCTAAAAATCGAACCAAAGACCAAAACTTGGCCCATGCTGCGTCAAACTTTGTCAAAAAGGGCTAAGAAAGAATTCTCCATTTTTATAATTTTTTCTGATACATGTTTGTATGATGTGTAGCAAGTTTGAGCTGATTCTGATCAAATTTGGCTTTTTTATAAATTTTTAAAGTTGCTCAAAAATCGGGCCGAAGTCCCTGTACTATAGTACAGGGATTTGGCCAAATTTCGCCAAAAATAACTAGGAGAGAATTCTTTGTTTTTGTAATATTTTCTGATACATATACATGTTCTTATGATGTGTAGCAAGTTTGAGCTGATTCCGATCTAATTTGGATTTGTTACAAATTTTTAAAGTTACTTAAAAATCGAGCCAAAGTCCCTGTACTATAGTACAGGGCTTTGGTCAAATTTCGCCTAAAATGACAAGGAGAGAAATTGCCATTTTTGTAATATTTTCTGATGCATATATGTGTTCTTATGTTGTGTAGCAAGTTTGAGGTGATTCTGATCAAATTTGGATTTTTTATGAATTTTTAAAGCTGCTAAAAATCGAACCAAAGACCAAAACTTGGCCCATGACCAAAGGTTAAACTTTGTCAAAAAGGGCTAAGAGAGAATTCTCCATTTTTATAATTTTTCTGATACATATACATGTTTATATGTTGTGTAGCAAGTTTGAGCTGATTCTGATCAAATTTAAAATTTTTATGAATTTTAAAGTTGTTTGAAAATCAGGGCAAAGACCAATCAGGCTGTAGCCTTTGGTCATGGGCCAAAAATCACCAAAAATGATTAGGAGAGAATTCTCAATTTTTAAATAACTTTTTCTGATACATTATACATGTTCTTATGCTGTGTGTCAACTTTGAGCTGACTCTGATCAAATTTGAAATTTTTATGAATATTTAAAATCCTTTAAAAACCAGGCCAATGCCATGTACTGTATTATAGTGCTTGTCAGCTTATGCTGCTTAGCTAACTTAGTATGCTTTGTGGGAAACCTTGGATAATCGAAATATGTCAATCAACTCTGAGCTAACTTTGGTTACGTTATGTGGTGCATTTGCATATTATGGCAAGACATTTCACACACTAGCAGTTAACAAACTAACTGATCATGGTGTGACTAATCAATATATTGTGGTAATTACAGCAAGAGTAATTAGTAAGGATATACTCCGCCAGCTCCAGCTGCACCATAACCATAGTCTGGACTAATTGTCAGCTTAGCTTTCTCGCCCAAACTTATCTAATAACACATTTAATAACATATGTATTTTATGCTATTATTTTAGTAGCTTTATACCTGCATGAAGCCTTCGTCCCAACCTGTAGATTCAAATAATCAAACAATTCACAACATTTAGACTTGCCTCTGATGACTTTTCCAACTCCAATCTTTGTTTGAAATGGCCTTCCCTTATCACGTGATGAGTCAAACTTCTTTCCATTGGTCAGTGTGCCAACATAATGAACTACAACGGTCTGTCCTTTCTTTGGGTAGGTCTTCCCTGCACAAAGATAATGAGGTACGCTTTGAAATCTTTGCATACCATCTCCTGGCTTTAAAGTTTCTACATCCACTCCCATCTTTAGCTGAAAATAGCTCTAATTTGGACTTCAAATTTTGTGAAAATGAAATTAATTTAATTAATGAATCACGCGGTCGCAATTTATAACTTTTATAGTTAAAAATAATTATTAGACTATTATAATAAAAGTTATTTTAAAAGTTAAAAATGGCATCTTCAAAGAAGGCACCAGAATTGGTTGTTCTGCAGGAATTCGCTGATATTATACAAGAAGCTATTGTAGAGCCTCTATCTCTTTCATCCAAACTTTATTCTAGAGATATCATTGATAGGAAAGTCCAAATGTCAGTCCTGGAGCACGGGAGTAGCTCTTATGACAAAGCAATGACTCTTCATAAAGCAATTGAAGCTAAGATACAGGCAGCAGGGAGCGAATCTGAAAGGGCTAAAATATTTATGATTGTTCTTGAGACAATGGAAGATCAGATACCATTGGATAGTGTGGCTGAGAGGATGAGAGATAGATATGAGAAAGTTAAGTCAGAGGGGCCAACTGAAGGTATAATTGAGTTCACATACAATCTTTATTCTAATATCCGTACATACACACTCACTGCCAATAATGTTTAGGTACATACATTATTAGTAGTACTAACATATCTGATTATACAGTATCCAACTCTTAGCTGTTAATAGCATTATTACATGTCAATGCACAATTAGTCACAATAGTGTGCAAATCATTTTGCATTGTGAATGGGTATTGTAACAGGCATGGTACTTATTAGTAAGTAGCCTTATTGGCTTCATAATTATGGTGCACCTGCACATTATTTAATTGTTATTGTTTATTTTATAGCTGCTCCTACTGATGAATTAGCTGATCTAAAATCAAAGACGCCTATAAGTAAGTTTTACTTTATAATGAAAGTGTTTTTTTGCAGTGGTGGTGACACTCTATTTTAAAATGCCTGTTTATCATAGTCAAGCATTGCAAATATGTTGCTTACAGTAGTTGTCCCAGTGGGTATTATGTATATAGACATGATGTAAGCATGGGTTTTGTGGTCTTACTCCAGGAGAGTATGTTTGCTTTTACTCAATGCTGTTTAATATTATGATTCATGCATAGAAAACCTGGTGTTCATAAAATTATGTTAATTTAGCTTTTGGTAAGCTATTAGCACTGTTGGCATAAATCACTTATATCAGTATCTTGCAAATTATAGAAATCAGCATTCTTTGTCTATAGCACACAGCTGGCTATGACCACCTATACAATTGAGAGAATTGTTTGATTATGTAGTTTATTGTGAGCATGACTTAATACATTTGTGTTTTGTTAAATAACAAAGTTACTTTTATTTTTTTAGAGCGTCTAAGTGAAGTGTTGAATGCATTGATTGAAGCATCAGACAAATGGTATCAGATTGGTATACAGTTGGACATCCCATCACATGCATTGAAATCCATTCAAAAGGAAAACCGTGAAGATAAAGACAGGCTCATGTTTATGCTTGATCATTGGATAACTAATGAAAAGAGTGAAGTAACATGGGAATCAGTCATCAATGCTCTGATTTCTCCTTCTGTTGAGCGCAGATCAATTGCTTATAAAGTGAAAGAAAAATTTATATCATCCAGTTAATTAATCAGACAACTAATAATAATTATGTAGTACTTTTAGAATTGAGTTTATACTTATCCTATGTGGGCGGAACTTGTGTATTGGGTGGGCGTGGTTAATTAACTGTTATTAATAATTATTGATTCAAGATGGCGGATATTTCTGACGAAGTAAAAAGAGAAACAGACGGAGAAGAAGACTCTGGTGACGAGTCCAAAGACGGTAAGCATACCACTTATAACCATATAATCTCCTTTCCTGCTGGTAGATGGCGGCATAGAGGACCCAGAAGGCAGAACAGTGAAAATCAGAGACAGTGACATTGTGAGATACTGAGCTTATCGACTTTAATTTATAATATGATTCCCTTTTAGGATGTGGATTTGACTCATTGTCGTTTGAGAGCTTTACCAGATGGCATTGGAGGACTTTATCAAGTTCAAGTGTGTAGTAATTAGAAAAATATTAATTAAAACTATATAAGGGGTGTGTCGTGTGGGCGTGGCTTGAAAATTAATTAATGGATTAATTATTATAATAGCTGCTAAATTATGTGTCATACTGATTGCAAATACTGTAGGTATTGTGTTTGAGACAGAACCTCATTTCTGATCTTTCAATGATATCAGATCTAGTGACATTGACAGAACTTGATGTATATGACAATGAATTGAAGGAGATTGCTAACTTGGACAAATTAACCAATCTAACGTGAGTCTAAATATTAAATAATTATTGTAAATAATAATATTTTTGTAATTGATAATTTTGCCATGTCCTAAGATTATTTTGCCAATATTAATTTAATACAATTGTTTTCCATGCCAATAATTTTTGAATGCAATTTATAATTTTTTTTTATTGTTGTCATTATTGTGTAATGTCATGCAATATGCTTTACCATACTTGACTATCAATGATGACTAGATATTATTATTATTATTGTTATCACTTTTATAATTGATTCAATTAGAACTTAACGCATTTTTCTATTCCATGTATGTACCAAGTATTTTCCCTTGTAATTTCCTCTTCTCTCTCTCTCTCTCTCTCTCTGTTGATGTAAATAAATCAAGTAGATGGTGGTTTAAGCACAATAGCGTTTTATTTTTCAAATTTAGTTTGATTTAAAATTAATTGGCCTATTGTCATAATTATAAACGTGCCTTTGGTTGTGTTTAGTTTGTTTATCCTGTCCACTTTTCTTCCATTACCTCACATTGGATGTTTTCCTAGTAGTTTTATTTACATGTCAGAGTGTCATGTGTTTGTGTGTGTACACACGAGGATGTGTACTTTGTCTCAGATTTATCCTCTCCCTTTGACCCATTGCCCATGCATTCCTAGAATAACATGCCCTCATTTGTACTTGCTGTATAACATTGTTGTTGCTGGTCTGTTGCTGTTGAATGTGAGATTTATGCTAGCAATGGTGTTGAGGATGAACTTGCTCTTTTGATTATGACAAAGATTGTGTCTGTTTGCCGGTAGTATCTCTGGGTTTGATTTCCCCGTATCTCATTAACGATTTCCGCCAATTTTATTATTGTTCGTTGATTTTTGTTAATTATTTAAGCTTGTAAATGAGAGATAGGGAGAAAGATAGAAAGAGACAGGAGAGAGATAAAGCTGGATATTAAAAGTACATGTATTACATGAAATTATAGCAAAATAAACACATACTTTTTTTAATCCCCTGTATTTTATTGACAGCTATTGAGACATGACAGGCCGCCATTTGATGTTGCAACATGTTGTTCATGTACATGTATTTTGTTGATAGGTTGTAATGTTTTGTTTTTTCCTAAGCGCTTAACACAGCATACGTTATAGTGTACTCTGGTCACAAAGGTCACTGACACTACTTTGAAGCTGTTAGCTTCTAGTGATGGGATTGATAATGATAATGAGTTTATGGATATCAACACTATTGTATAGTTGTACTTGAACGTGTTAGGAGTTCCTCTTGGTATGTTGGAAATCTCCCATTTCCTTTATGGTGGTACTCACAACTTCAAAATTTGCAGATGGGATAGATATATTGTGTAAGAACATGTACATGTTATATGCATTGGAAAGTGTACTAAAAATAGAGAATTCTCTTCTAGTCAATTTTGACATAATTTGGCCAGTAACCGTGTACAATGTACTATGATAGTACATCGTCTTTTGAGTAACTTAAAAAATTTGTAACAAATCCAATTTTGATCAGAATTGGCTCAAACTTTCTACACAACATAAAAACATGTATATCAGTGTTTCAGAAAAAAATTATAAAATGAAGACTTCTCTCCTAATTATTTTTGGCAAAATTTGGCCAAATACCCTGTACTTTGGCTCGATTCTTGAGCACACCTTTGAATTTGATCTAAATTAATATATGTAAATGTGACCATAATTGACGAGGTACCTTATGGCGGATTTTTTAATTCATCATTATAATGAAAAATATCAACCTGTGAGTGCTCTGATAGTCAACCATTGTTTCTAAAAGTTACATAGTAACTTTTTGCATCCTCTGGAGTAATTTTATGACAAATGGAGCTTAGGAAGTTGGATTTTTTAGGCTATAAAGACCAATTTTCCTATCCGCCATAAGGTACCTTTTGCCAATTATGGTCACAAATACTCCACACTTTTCAATCAACTCAAACTTTGTTTAGTATTTATTGCAACAAGTTGTAATAGCATTTTACATGCATGTGCTTGTGGGATAATATCATAGTCCATGTGCATGCGAGTGTGTGTATTGTTATAAATAGATCTATTATCTGATTCCACATTTCAACGTATGTTATCTGTATCAAAATATTTATATCAAAGCATGGGCTATTGTGATATATTAGTTCAGTTATTTAGAAATTGAATACACATATTGAATCTACATTGTATTGGTAGACTAAGATAACTAAGATTAGCAGATAAAGCTAAAATGTCAAATATAATCCCCACCAGTAATTCCAGGCTTCTAGCCTTTATATGTTACATATGCAATGTAACGTGTCCTCTTCTATCATTGTAGGTTTTTAGATCTTTCTTTTAATCACATTCGCCTCATAGAGGGTATCTCTACTCTAACTAATCTAACTGACCTCTACTTGATCAACAACAAGCTAACGCTGATGGATGGACTGCAGACACTCACCAATCTTACATTGCTAGAACTAGGATCAAATAGACTAAGAGTAAGCTCTCATTACACACTCATGTACATGTACATGTAGATGCAGCTTTAAAACATGCACATTCATGCTTTTGAAGACCTTTTAGTGCTGATTTTATATGGTTGAATGTCACATTGTCACATGTCCTTTATTGTCAGTGATGATTGTCTCAGATTAGCTTTGTTTGTAAAAATGAATGCAAAATGCATGTTGCTTGTTTATTGTTTGTTGAATTGTTGTTTATTTTATTGCTATACCCTGTGCCTAATATCAACAGTGGAGGTTATAGTGGTTCCTTGTATTGATAACTGAACAGTTGGACTTTTTGTTGTCATCATCTAATTTCATACACATGCAGTGAGTGTTTATCCATACGGAGGTCTATTAATTCTGAGAACATGTAAATGGGTCAGATTATTATTGTGTTTACTGTTTTTGTCCAGTTAGCGGCTTACTTTGATAAATGACTGTCAACAACAGAAAAGCTTTGATGAAAGATTGACAAATTAACTAAGCTCATTCTGACACAATGTGTACTGACTCTTGCATACAGAGGGTGTGAGAAGGTGTGGTAGTATTGTAATTATTTTAAGAGGGCCGTCCTGTATTGCTATAATCCAATTATAAAACACTCCTACATGCATAGATGTACATACATGCCTTAATATTGGATGGTGAGCTGATTAATATGAGCTTGTCTATTCCTGTATGAATGATTAGACTCTGTCAGTCAGTATACACATGTCTATCAGCAAGAGTAGATAATAATTAGAGGAGAGTGTCCTACTGTGCCTATACCCCCTGCTTCATCACCGCGTAGACTTGAAGAGTCACATTCAGGATATTTCCGTATTTTCATTGAGTTTGAGTAATTATTGCTAGTTATTTTTGAATAACTACTCAAAAATACTGAAAATATCCTGAATGTGACTCTTCAATTCTACGCGGTGATGAAGCAGACCCTATTGCCAGTAGGACACTCTCCTCTAATTATTATCTACTCTTGCTATCAGTATATCATACCTGTTCACATGCATGTGATGCTGCATGGTTGAAGTAGGATTTATTGCTTTTTGTTTAATGAAAATTTTTAAAGGGGGGCTGTTCTAAAGGACTGTTTGATTTGTCTATTTAGAAATAAAACAAAAATGATTTTATTGATCTGGTATTGAGTAAAGTAAGGAAATGGAAAGGGTATATAGTATTATGCATAACAAAAAAACAGCACATCAAGGAAAAAACTAAAAGGGAATACCGCTAATATAATAAATAAATAGAAAAATAAATAAATAATTAAGTAAATAAATAAATAAATACATGAAAAAGCAAGGCTGGTAGCTGAATCAGCCCACACGTACGCTTTTACTGATTCATTAAAAGCAGTCATTTGATAACAATATGTCTGCCAGCCTATCTTTAGTAGATATTGTAATTTGCATTTCTTATTTGTTAGCTTTCAATAATAACTCTCTTTCATGTATATTTTATAGTGTCATTTCATTAGGACAGTGTGTGAATGTACTATAGACTATTGTAATCCTGATCTCTTTCATGGGTTGAGATGGCTATCAAAACATGTACTTATATGTACAATCCCTTTGTACTTTAGTGCACTTTACTACTATTATCAGTTTTACCATAGAGTATTAGCAATAGAATCTCCCAGCTAGACATCTCTATAATGGAGATATTTTTTTTAATGTACCAATATTTGAAATGAGGACACCTCTCTGTATTGAGGACACTTTTGTATTAAGGACATTGGAATAAGACTCCATTCTACTATTAGTGCTATATTAGGATTATTTGTTATCATGCATAACTATAAACAGTCATGCAATGCATGGTATGTATTGCTATTCCAATGGTTCTTATAATTATAGCTTTACTGCTCAGCACTGATACTGTCTGATGTGATTTTGACGAATACACCTAACCTTATATGTCACGTTAAGCTAATAACTCACTCCTAATTATTGTGTAGTTATTGGTCACCACACCTAGCAATGAATGATGCTACATTACACTATATCATATTATATCACTATGTATGTACATGTATATCATATGGCAAGTTACCAAGAAGGATCCCATTCAACTGTGTATACAATGCTTTTGTAATGCAGTTAGGATGTGGCCAGAAAGTATAAGTGTAGAGTAGGATGTAATCCTTATGGTTGAGAGAATGACCAAACCTGAAAGTGGCTAATAGATATCAAAATGTGTTATAGTTTACACAGTGTTTTACAGGGTATGTTTTTGTTTTTATTGCAGATTCAACATTGTCCTAGATACTCTTAGCTAGTTTCATAATCCTATTTCTAACAGACTCAAGTCCCTTTCCCTCTACATTTGCACAAGATTAACAAGAAGTAGCCATTTTTGATCATGTGACTGCCCATGTGACTTTTTTTAATCCATTATTTTTAAAATGCCTGTTGTCCAAATTCTAACTATATTGCAAGGGTACCGTGTTTAATAACTATTCCAAAAATTTCAACCCATTACTCCCAAAGAAATTCCAGCATAATTTGCATGTTTTTCTACTTTTATGTGAAATATATCGAACTCTTGGTACAATGGACTATATTTCATAATTTCATTCTGTTTGTGTTTGTGTAGGTGATCCAAGGTCTAGAGTGTCTGGTCAACCTAGAGAAGCTTTTTCTAGGAAAGAACAAAATTACAAAGATAGAAGTATAAGCAGATGTGCATGTACACATTCATGTACATGCATATCCCATCTGTATGCATGTACATGTACACCTGTTTCATTAAACATTGTAATTGTATATTTTTTATGTATCTGCCATTTGTTTCTTGTTGTATTTATAAAGCTCATTTTACTTGGCTTTAGAATCTCCAGTGTTTGACAAAGCTGCGCCAGTTGAGTCTTCAGGGTAACCGGATTAAAGTGATCGAGGGTTTGGAGTCTCTTTGTAACCTTGAGGAGCTTTACCTCTCAGAGAATAATATAAGCGAAATAACTGGACTGGAGAATCAGGTTAGTGAAGGATAGAGAGAAAGAAAGAAAGAAAGAGAAGAACCTAATAATAGAAGGCTAACAGTATGTCTTCAGTAAAGTATTTTATCATGTACATGTACGTCATTAAGTGTAAGAGTGTGCCCACAGAATTGAGAAGGAGCATAACAAAGTATGTCTTCAGTCTTGTGATAATTGAGTAAACAAATTAAGAGAGAGAGAGAGAGAGAGAGAGAGAGAGAGAAAGAGAGAGAGAGAGAGAGAGAGAGAGAGAGAGAGAGAGAGACGGACGGACGGACAGACGGAGAGAGGGAGGGAGAGAGACAGTGGGGGATATACTAACCTTGGTGCTTGTTTTTGTTCTTTCATTAATAGGCAAAGCTTACCATTTTAGACCTGGCACACAACAAAATTGGTAGACTTAGCAACATATCGCATTTGACTGTCCTCGAAGATTTATGGGTAATGATAATAATGATATTTATTGTAGTAGAAATGAATCCCTCATTTGTTAACATAATACTGTTTTCATTTTCATTCAATTCACATGTACATGTGAATGTTGTACTGATATAGAGTAACAGCATTTTTGTAATTCTTAGACATATACAGTCTTCCTCTAGGGGGCAGGTGTTTAATTTGCTTTTATGATAGCCCCCCACATTTTAAAGTACAAGCTTATTTTGTGCACATGACACTACTAAAAGAGCATTCTTGATACATACTGTATAGTTTTGGTATTTCCCTTCCAATTATTTGCTAGCTCTTTTCCCCTCTATCTGTTATCTTTGTTTCTCTGTTTTACTTTTATTTTATTCTCTCTCTCTCTCTTTCAATAATCTATAATATAGTTTAATGCCAACCAAGTCAGTGATTGGAAAGAGGTCAATAATATCTCTCCGCTAAAGGTCCTATCTACTGTTTATTTTGAGCACAACCCGATTGCAAAGGATCCTCAATATCGTCGAAAGTTAAAGCTCACTGTACCCTCTTTGACCCAGATTGATGCCACAATGATAAGATAGGGAAAAGTAGGAAAGACAGGAGGATTTATAATCATTATTATTATTATTATTATTATTATTATTATTATTGATACATGGTTTTTGTTGATTTTGTGTTGTTTAATGTGCATTTTAACCATTATAGATTATTATTATTAGCTAATCAATGTTTACTATGAATGATGCGTGGGCGATGAGAGCATATAATAACATTTGCTGGAGCTCTTTTTATTAATTTTCGTAAAAGGAAAAGAGATGAAGTGTTACAATAACGACTCACTCCCTCCATCTTGTCTTGAGCTGAACAATGCCTCCGTACAGCAGATATTAGGCTCCCTCGCCCCTAACTGTGAATACGGGGCTTGGTCGCCCATCAACGATGCCTGGCTGGGAGCTTTCTATTTCCACACAGTCTTCTTTGGCATAGCCTTCCTTCTCATCGGAATTGCCTGCATAGTCTTTCTAAGCAAGAGACATCTCGCCAAGAGGTTCAAGACAAAGACCTTCTTTGCTATAGACGTCTCTCTCTGTATCCTCGGCTTCTCCAAGTTTTTATTCTACGTTCTGGATCCATACGGCATTGCTGGGTTCTGCCCACCTGGACTGCCATGCATGATATCATCTCGGCTCCTCTTCTCCCTCGCCTTCCCCAGCCTCACTGCTGCTTACACTCTGGTCTTCCTTACTCTTTGGTACAGCGCTAAGATGAAGCTTGGACGGGCCTGCATACAAAGGTGGCGGATCATAATACCGCTCTGCTTCATTCACTACCTTGTAGCCATAGTGTTCGAGTTTGTTGGAGCATTTGGTAGTCCATATTACATTATTTTCCTCCTCATTGCCTGCGAAGCATTCTTTACCCTATGGGGCCTTGTCGTTTGCTCCACATTCCTCATTGGTGGGCTACGGTTGCTGCACTCCGTGCAAAAATCAGCTTTCAATTCTGCTATAGTGTCGACCGATATAGTTATACGGGATGAACGTCATCTCGAGGACGGTACGAAGGTCTACACTCGTTCACGGAGTACCATGAGGCTAAAACCAAGGCAGACCCATCAGCGTGCCTTGCGTAAGATTGGGATCGTGACGTACTGTGCTGCAATATTGGGTGCACTTTATTCTCTGCTAGGAATATCTCATCTGGTGATGCTTTGTCTTCAGCTCTTTGGAGAATGCGACGAAGATGGACTGGGTCAAAACAGCAATCTCTGGCTAGCTTTGAAATACCTAAGTGGAGCGATTGAGCTCCTACTAACGCTATTATTATTATACAGCATCAACGATGTAATGCCTTTAGTCCTAGTCACAAAGAACTTTATTAGGCTGATATTTCATTGTGGGCATGTCTCTGATACAAACAAGCCTTGCGATACCATTAATAATGAGATATTTCAATACAAAGGGTCCGTGCAGACCATATGTAGCCGTAATTCATCGCCCACACAAGGAAAGGACACTCTCACTCGTAGTATTACCAAACAGCACAGCAGTAGTGACGTGTTTTTACAAATTAATGGGAAAGGTAGTAGCAAACCCTCTCCTTTTAAAGGCAGGAAGAACCACACGTTGCCTAGTAACTATCACTATAAAAGAAATTGTGGAGATGGTAATAAGAGTAATAATGGCTGTGTATTGACTGATGATAAAACGAGAGATAGTAAATCATCATCGGAGAGCAATGGTGGCTGCATTCTAGTACAAAAGAGAGATACCATTACTATTGCTGAACCATGCCATAACAATACTACTACTAACGATACATCAAGCGCTGCAGTCAAAGAAAGCTCTCCTTGCTAATCAAAAGACAAGCTATGTGACAATGAAGACATTTTACAGTTCATTTAAGACATTATATCAATTATTTCTTTCAAACAAAGACTCAGTATTGACTAGAACAATATGCATTTCGTCCACACATTTCTGTCTACATAGTGCACTTAAATATACTATACCCTATTTTTCAAACCTGTAATAATAATAACAATAATTGTACTGTGAATATTTGTATAACTCAGCTGTATTATTATAATTTATAATAGTAACAACATTAATTTTAACAAGAAGTCATTATTTTTTCAATAAATACAATACACATGTAGTCACTGGTGCTGTTATGAGTAATTATTGGATTAAACCTTTTTAACTCAACTGGTCTTCAGAGCGAAGATATTGCCCTATGTCAGCTTGATTGAATACAACTGTAGTCCCTGGGTCAATATGCCTGCAGTCTTGTGTTGACTTAGCAGCAACGCCAAAGCCCTACAAAATACAATTAGACCTCATTAACTGTTGGGGAACATGTCGCAAATGTACTATATATGTATGTGTCAGTCGATAAATGCTGTACTTGTGTCATCAGGTAGGTCATGTGATTATATAATTGAATAAAAGGGTGGGTATATTACCGTGTGCAAATTAATGTGTGCAAACTATGTAGATTAGGTTTAGCCTGATGCATTGTGATGCTCTACCACATAAAAGAGATTCGATAATTAGCATACTATATATATATATATATATATATATATATATATATATATGTAGTGTGGAGTGTGCGAATCCTTATACCCTGAAAGGCATAAAATAATAATATAAATATTTACAAAGGAGGGCTCAAGACTCCCAAGCCAGCTGCAAGTACATGCAGCAAGTGTATGTGTGATTGTGTCTGTGTACATGTACACTTAGTGAGTGAAGACCTACTGTCTATGGTGAAGACCATTTAGCCTACCATTAGTCTAGATTATGTCATATTTATCAGTGACATATTATTACAGGATGTGATCTGGACAGACAGTCAAGAGACATAACAAATAGAGAATCAATAGATTGGTTTCCTCTCCATTAGTTCTAGTTGATTAGTGCATCATGTCAACTAGAGTTATTATTATATTACAGTTTTACATCATGATTTAAGTGTTGATTTATTTTATTGTAATCCGGTTTGGGTCTATGATCGTCTTCCAGGTAGCATTTATACAGCATCAGCCAAGGAATGGCTTCCCTTTGTTCTATACTCAAATAATACTTATTTTATGTAAACCAGGTAGTGAATGACAATTGTGTGTTTGTGTATGTGTGTGTCAATGATTACTAATAATTATACATGTATTTCATAGGCAGTTAGTAAGTCAATATAAACAATTTATTATTTTAAAAGTAAAAATTAATTACGAATTAGGAAAATTCACTATCTAATCACCCATATTTCCTCCTTCATAGTTATAGACAAATTAAATTATAATGATATTATTACACTAAAATAACACCAGTCATCATGTTACACAGCCTGTCATAATAAATCTAAAAGCTTTCTTGCTATAAATATTCGTTGTGTGCTCCTTTTGATCAGTGCATTGAGTTACGGGGTTTAACTTGTAAGCCAAATCTACTGCCAAACTTCCCTCTAATACGTCAACAAGTAATAGCAGCTCCAAAAATTAAACTCATACATAGTACAGGTAGATGTGTTTAGCTGTTAAGAACAGGATAAGTAGCATCAAATAAAGAAAATAGTTTTGAGCTCTGATTTTAAAAATCACTATAATACTTGACACTTAGATTTTAATACAGGAATAAATTTTGATTTAAAGGTACTCTTGGCTTGATGGGTTTGTTAATAATGAGAGGGTAAGTATAATTAAGACTTCAAAGGCTCCAAACAATTACAATACTATAAAAGTATTAACATTAATTGCTATACTAACCAGTGGTGTGTCATTCATTGAGTATACTAATACTCCTTGGTACGTTGGTGTGTTCTCAGTAATTCGCCCCAAACCTCCTTTCAACACATTATGGCCATACAAGAACTGCTGCTCACTGTTAGCCTTCAACCACACCTTATGCTATTAATAAAAATAATAATAAAAATACATACCCGGTACTCAGTTAAATTTTATTATTTCATCATGTACATGTACATTTAAATACGGTGTAGCTAGAAATATTTCTGTGGCTTAAAATTACCACAAATTGCCATAAAATTGGCTTTTACAGATCACCGTGCCTTTCAATTTAAATAGGCCATTAATTCATGTACCAAATTTTTAAGGACTAAAGTTCTGCAATTTTTCCAAATCTGCAAAATTAGTAGAAATCTAGAGCCACAGAAATTTCTAACTATACGGTATTCAAGACTACATTAAAATGGTAGTCTTTGATCTACATTTAAAATGGCAGATCAAATTTGACTTACTTTAGCATGTGGCGCTAGTATATCCAATGCAGTTATTACCAGGTGGAATTTACCGCCATGAGTGAACTTCCCGATACAAGTACCAAGACTAAGCATTTGCTTACGAGCAACATTTGTGGCCCATCTCATTATCTGCTCTCTAATAATTTAATAGTAACCATTAAATCACAGATTAAATCTTAATATGCAGCTAAGTGAGCACTAAGAATGTTTCATTAGCTGACAAGCTCTACAATAGTATGTGGTGGCTTTTGGAGCAACTTTAAAAATTCATAAAAAATCCAAACTTGATTATAATCAGTTTAAACTTGCTACACAACATAAGTACATGTATATGTATCAGGAAAAGTTATAAAAATTGAGAATTCTCTACTTTTCATTTTTGATGAAATTTGACCAAAATCCCTGTACTATAGTACAGGGACTTTGGCCCGGTTTTTAAGCAACTTTAAAAATTTGTAAAAAATCCAAACTTGATTGGAACCAGCTTAAACTTGCTACACAACATAAGTACATGTATATGTATTAGGAAAAGTTATAAAAATGGAAAAATCTCTACTTTTCATTTTTGATGAAATTTGACCACAATCCCTGTACTATAGTACAGGGACTTTGGCCCGATTTTGAAGCAACTTAAAAAATTCGTAAAAAATCCAAACTTGATCAGAATCAGTTCAAACTTGCTACAGAACATAAATACATGTATATGTATCAGGAAAAGTTATAAAAATGGAAAATTCTCTACTTTTCATTTTTGATGAAATTTGACCAAAATCCCTGTACTATAGTACAGGGACTTTGGCTCAATTTTGGAGTAACTTCAAAAATTTAAAAAATTCAATTTTGATTGGATTCAGCTCAAACTTGCTACACAACATAAGAACATGCATATGTATCAGATAAAGTTATAAAAATGAAAAAAGTTTTAGTGATTTCTATTATATAGAGGGCACACTGTAGTACTACAAAATGCTCAGCCCAACAATCAATCCAATAAATCATAATTATTATAAATCATAATATTATTAGACTCACTTCACATAGAAAACTCTATTTTTGTGTAATCTGAATACATAGCTACCATCAGGTCTATCAACCAGTAGCTTGACATTGTCCCCTATACTATAGAGGATTATAAATGCGTTGTTTTTTAAAGTAATGCTTTGAGCTCACTATTTGGAGAGTTTCCCAAGGACAACTTTAGTTTCTTCTTCTGTCAATGGCCTCATTTTTGCGAGTTTTTGTACATGTGGGTTTAAGCTGCCAAGTTGGGTGGGTTGCCAGATGGGTTGGGTAATGGGTTAGGCCAAAAGTTCATTAAAAAGTAGTCTCTCAAAAAAGCTCATGCATACAAAATTTTTAAACAATTTGAAAAATTTAATACACAATGAATAAAGTCAAAGAATTGTGTGCGTTTAGCATGGTTAATTATACTTGTATTTTGCTGTTCTTATAGCATGTCACATCCTGTTTCCATGTGCAATATAAACATGTACATATAATAATATAAAATGTAAAAAACACTTATTAAATCTGTCAGCCAGGGAACCAAACAACTTTAGGATAGTTCTGCAGCCTGAAATTAAAACATAATAATAAACTAATAAAGGCCAGAGTCAATGAAACAGACCTCTAATGCTTGCTCTAAATCATTTATTATGTCATCAACATCCTCCAAACCAATCGACAGTCTTATCTATAGGAATAAACAAGCTAATGGCAGCCAGTAAAACTAAAATATACTACGATTAACAGTTAAAGCAATTAGTTTTTCTATGTATTCAGGAAGGAACTGATGCAAAATCTACGTAACATCTACTCACTAAATTGTCAGTGATGCCAATACGTAGTTTGTCTTCCTTTTTCATGGCTTTGTGAGTCATAATGGTACTACAAGAATGCTAGAATATTATAGCAATGGTTTATGATGAGGCATACCAAACTCCTGCTATACTTTCCAGTGACCCTAAACTAACAGCCATAGTAAATATCTATAAGAATATTTATTGTTATTAATTTTGCAGGCTGCACTGGGTGTCTGCATACTTTAAGACTTTTAAGAAATCTCTTGGCAGTTTCGAGGTCTCCTTTAATTTTGAAAGAGAGCATGCCGCCATAACCATCATTACTGAACAGTTTCTTTGCTAATTCATGCTGAGGATGAGAGGGTAGCCCTTGGTAGAGATAGGAGGATGAAAGCAAGGAAAATATTTTAAAATAAAAAAAATGATCTTCATATAGTTCATACCAGGATATGAGACACTATCAACGAATTGAGATGATTCAAGGTACTTTGCAACAGCTAGTGCATTCTCAGCATGTGCTTTCATTCGGACATGAAGAGTACGCAGACTGCGATTAGCCAAATAGCAATCAAATGGACTAGGAACAGCACCAATGGCTAGTAATGATGATAAAACATGCATTACCATGTAGCGCTTTATTTTGGCGGCGTTTTATTTTGACAATTTTGCTGTAAAATTGTCATTGGCGGTTTTTAGTTAGGCAATTTTTTGTGTACATGTGCATTACTGAGCATGCGCATTAATGATTGGCGGTTTTAATATTGGCAATTCTGCTTGCAAACTGCCAATCACCAAAATAAAACTCCACCAAATTAAAGCACTATACGGTGTGCATTAGAAGAGTTCAAACTATGTGCTAACTTGTTAAAAGATTTCTTATCTTTTCAGCAATGATAGTGTTGCTGGTGCATATAACACCCATCAATACATCACTATGGCCTATCCAATAATACTAAAGCAGCAATGAATAGCCTAATGTTTTACCATTAAGATATTTCGTTCCTGAATGCATCACAATATCAGCTCCTAATGACAATGGTCTTGTGAAATAAGGCGTAGCAAGAGTATTATCTACCACAAGAAGACAGTCCTATATATAGACATTATTTTAATGATCTTTTATCTCATTAATATTTAATGTAAATATTTAAATACTTTTTTGTGTGCAATGTCTGATATCTTTTGTATATCAATGAGCTCCACTGATGGATTGCATGGGAAATCAATCCATAAGAGCTAGAAAACTATAAAACAAATAAATGCATTTTTATCATTCACTTTTGTTCTCTCAGTAATAGCTGATTCTATTGTTTCAGGGTCTCCATTTAATACATTCACAAATGACGCTGTTATCTTATACTTTGAAAATACATCAGTCATTAAGATATTGCTCCCTAAATAGATAAAAATTGAGCTGAGATGACAAGCACATACAGATGGTATCATACCAAAATATACATTTTCTGCTACAACAATGTTATCTCCAGAGCTCAGTAGAGACTGCAGGATGATTGCTATAGCTGTTGATCCAGAATTAGTCACAAAACCTGGTAAGGACAAAAAGATTTCACACAGATTACAATCATGATAATGGCATAATACCATATTCAGCTTCTTCTAGTCTAGCAAGTGATTTCTCCAGGCATTCCCTTGTTGGGTTAGTGCTACGAATATAAGTATACTGACTTGAAATTCCCTCTTCTTGCTCCTAATGACAATAAGCAAGCCCCACCCATGATTTACTCAATATTGTGTGAATAATAAAGTTTACTTTGCTAGATTCCACTATTGATCTTTTGTATGTGGTTGATGTGACGATTGGTGGCCACATTGCTTTACATTTCCACTCATCAGGATTGTTTCCAGCATGAACACTCAATGTGCCAATACCAGCCATGAATGATGAAGGAGGAGGGGCTAAGGACTTAACACCCACGCGTTAAAAATGTTAACCACGTGCAATCACGTGTTCCACGAACAAAACCTCGCCCCTCATTAAGGGTGGAGTACGTCGGCAAACTATTAAAGCACAACTAGCAAGAAGGGAAGAAATGTCTTCTTTCTTCGTGTTTACATGCTTATTTGTTCACTTTATTTTGCTAGAAGGAGTGGAAAGTATGTTTTTTATTTGGCGTTGTATTGGAGTGTCTTTTCACTTTAGGTCAATGCGTAGCCGCTAACTATACAGGCTGTTGTACAAACTATCCATGCCATGTAAGCTCATTTAGTTTATCCTCTTGCTTCATTTTAAGAATTGTTATTTAGGGAGCTGGGTCCAGTTTATGCTATTGTGACGCCAGTTGTTACATATACGGTGATTGCTGTCCAGATGTAGCCAGCATTGGTTGTGTATACTTGGAGAGTTCTTGTGTATCTGCTGGCTTCACTTCTTGCTGTAATACTTCTACTAGTTCTTCATGTCGTGGGACTGGTGGTAATTCAACCTGTTACTGCGATCAGTCTTGCTATACTAATAACAATTGCTGCCCTGATATTAATCAAACTAGCTGTGTACAAAGTAACGTTACTGAAACAGGTGAGTACTATTCTATATCAAGTACCCATGTGTATATCAATGGAGCCTATTCAAACCACTAGCTTTAACAAATAAGGCTTCAACCATTTAGCAGCTGTTGTGAGTGAAAATTAGCAACCAGATCCTTTAAAGGTCACACTGTAACAAGAAAGTGCATGCTACTATTGACTGAGTTTGCTGGTTTGGATTGGATGCATACTTCTAGTATCAAAAACAGTTTGATTTAAAATATCACCTTTGGTTTAGTTGATTTCAGTGATGAATTGTGTGATTACTGATTGAGTATTAACGAAAATAGTTGATCCATTCCTTCCTTTAAAATGCCC